TAAATTTCTGTTGGATGCTTGCTATTTGCTCGTGGTGGCTAAAGTCTTCGTTGGCTTTCATGTCTCCTATACTTGAGACTTCTTCAAACTCTTTGATGATCTGGGATATTGCAGGACCAGCTATCATCCATCGTTTCAGTGCGCTAGGATTCTCTGTTATTCCTATATCCCCACCATAACCCTTAATCAGAGTATTATTTGCTCATGGGCCTGGTCTATAGGGATGGTTGAGAATGACCTAGGTGTCTTCTGAACTGTAAAGAGACCTTCATTGAAACGCTGATACAGGTCAGGGTGAGTTGTCTCCAATTGGACCATGTCCCTTAGGTGTATTGGGAGCCATCTGGAATAGTGTGTATGATCTAATGCAAAAAACCAGGGCATCATCTTGGTCAAAACAGATATGTAGAGTTTAAAGTCTGCCTCTCTCAGGGATCTAACAAAGATCATAAGCATCATTTCAAGGCCCTGTGTTATAGCCCAGTATTTGAAATGGGGGGAATTGGCTTCCCCTTCCCTTTTCCATTCTTCAAAGGATAGGGGGGCTACATCTCTGAGTTGGGCAGCAGCTAGGTATATGTTGAAAGCTTTCTTCATTAGGATGTGGAGTGCTGCCAACATAATTTGACGTGCTCTTCGAGTCTTGGTTATATGGCTTTCCTTTAGGAAGGACTCTGCAGTACCAACTGATGCTGTATTTGACTGAGCAATTACATTTACTCAAACGCTGTCTGTCAGCCAATCACCAACCACCTTCTGGAATGCCATTTCTATATGGAGACCTCCAAACATGATCAAGTATTTATCTTCCCCATGTGTATCAGGGTATATCTATTGAATGGTTTTCAGGGAATCAAACAATGGTTGGTCAGCCGCAAGCACTGGTATTTGACCAGGATTTACTCTATGTATGACAGGTTTGACTATGTACATACCATGTTTTAACATGGCTAGAGATTTTTTCCAAAAGAAAATATATTTAATATCCCTTCAGTGCAGAGTCTATCCAGCATTTATTCTCAATCATATGTGTGACTCTCATATTGATATGTATAATTATGAGTAATTCAATAAAAGCTTATAAAATAGTACAAGGCTTAATACTGAGCCTTGCTGAACTCCCGTTTTAATAGTTAAATATAATGTAAAGTAGTTCCTATATCACAAGCAACTGTCTGGAATTCCCTCAAACAAATACAATTGGTTTAGAGCTAAAATACAACATTAATTCAAAGATAATTCAAATTTCTTAAAAAGCTATATGTATTGGCGGCCATCTTGGATTTTTTTCAGAATGAGGCTCCGGATCACTTGCTGCCTCGAGCCAATTTTTTTCAATTGCCATCAGTTACACTTGTACCAATTTTGGTGCTTCTATCATAAAAAGAATTATCGTAAGGTGATTAGGCTTAGCTATTTACATTTATTTGATTGAGGTCACTCTGAAATTGAATTTATTGTGTTTTGAGATAATGTGGAGTATTGACTTGGTTGCTTTTTCATTGAACATTTATGATTGTCACTTATGAAGTTCTATATGTTCAAACATGATATTAATTCTCTGATTGAATCTTTTCAGAAATAATGAAGGGATATTGGCAGCACGCAGAAGTTGAACAGCTTGAGAAAAACTTCAATGCTTTTGTAAAGGTACTTTTTTTCATATTTTTTCTGTATTGACTGCTGATTTCACATATTGTCACATATTTTTAATTCTTCAAATTTTCATCCAAATTGACACATTTAGAGCTTAGTTTAAGATTCAGACTAATAAATGAGAACTTTCCTAATTTGGTATGGCAAAAAAGTAGTATCAAATAAAGTGATTAGGCCAAACAGCCTTAACTATAAAAGCAGGCACAGACGACGTCATTGGTGTGACAACATTTTCTATTTCTTTTTTGTAGGAACACAATGTGACAAATCCATATGATTTACTCAAACATAAGGCTCTTAAGAAAGGGCCAAGAAAATCATATCTTATGAACCTCATAAGAAGGGAGAACTTCTACATTAAGCTTGGTGAGTTCATTGTACATGTAGAGTGCATTTGACTATCAATTAGAAATCATAATTCTCTGATAAACAGATAAAGCCTTCGTGCAGTCTAGCTACAAACTTCCCTCTGCCTAGTATTGGCTATATTACAATTTAGCAGCCCGGCCCAAAGATTGGTTATAAATCATTTCGAATCTACCACGTTGATCCTTTCTCAACCAATCAGCGAAGTGGAAGGAACACATGCTAAATACGTGCTCATTAACTATGCGGTGATAACTATGAGGAAATTACCATATAGGAAGTTGTCCATATTTCGACGACGAACTCTGACTGGCTCAGTGAGATCAGAGATTTATTGTAAACTGAAAGAGTGATGAAGAAGCTCTCTTTTAAGAAGTGAAGTCCAACGAATGCAAAGGGTAGTAGGGCCTATAGGCTATATTACAGTCTAGCAGCCCCAGTATGCTATGACATCAGAGGAAATGACCATAATAGGAAGTCATCTGATTGGCTCAGTGAGCTCAAAGATTTATTGTAAACTGAGAGAATGAAGACAAAGCTATCGTTTAAGTCAAACGGATACAAAGGGTAATACAGATATTTCTTGACAAGCTTAAGTTCAAAGTAAGCATCTCATAAGCTTCTGTTCTTGACACTATAAAAATGTCATAGCACCATGTTTTATTAATAATCTTGTCAAATAGTACCTGAAAATTTTGTTTGAATCACCAATTATCATTATTGTTGTATTTAGTACCCAAGCTCTAATTAGAGCCTTTCCATGATAAAATATCTTTAAATTTAGAGTAGAAACAGTTGAATGGAAATAAAAACACAAGAGTACAACACTTTAACTCATTTAAGTGGTACACCATTGGGACCACAAAAGAGTCTATTGTAAAATTTATTGATGATACCTAAAATCTCTTGATATTGGATCTTGAAAAAAACATTAAATTGATATTGTATAATGGTAATGTATTTTAAACTAAAACAACAGTACTGTACTTCCATATTACCAAAACAACAGGTTTGAAGAAAACCTACCTGGTAGTGAAACTTCATCTACATGTACGCATTTGAAAAAAACTCAAAATCAAATTATCATTTGGGGATATCGTAGATCCAATCATCTTACATTTTTCTTTTTTCATTGTATTTAGCATTTGGAATTAGGAGAACTTTGTATTGCTGCTATGTCAAGGCCAGGACAATGTACCATCCACTTCATCACAAGGGAAGGTAAGGAATCAGCTTCTCTAATGACAGGCTAGGGACATTGGTCAATGTTTTCAGTGTCCTCTCAAAACATCTTAAATTACATTCCAGAATCATCTCACCTTCCCTTTCCCTGAAAAAGTAATTACACACTCATGTTTTCAAAATTAAGGATTTGTTCTTTTTAGATATTGATGGTATGATTTAACCATTAAACCATTTATGATTTTTGCCCACCCATTCAAAGGTAATTACGTTTGTGGATGTACAAGTATATTGAGCTTTTTTATTCTGTTATATTCTGTTATATAAGAGGTTTTCTTTTGAACATGTTTACCTCTTTTTGTTACCCATAATTATTAAAACATATTTATTGCCCTTCCTGTCTAAAGTCTTTAAGAGTATTTTAACTTTAATAACAAGTTAAACTTCAGAAAACTTGTATGACATACTACTGTACTTCTACTTAATTTGGCGGCCGTTTTAATTTGGCATATCCGCCAATTGTAAAAGTCTGTCAAATTAAGTAGCTGCCAAATTCCCCAGTCATTCTAGTATGTATGTTAGTACCATTAGTAAGTTTAAGTTTATTCCAATTTTTTTAACATGTTACATATAGTATTCATATACAATCTGACGCAAAGCGTATATTGTAGTTCAAGGATCAAAAGTCAATATTTGTAAATACAATTATTTTAATGAAGTGCAGGAATGCCGGAAAAGTGAGATGGTAGAGTCTGCTAGAGTTACATATAAATAAATAAGTTGATATAATATGATGTGTAAGTGCTGCCTTGAATTTAACTGTACTGACACTGTGCTTAATTTCATTAGGTAGTTTATTATAATATGATGGTCCAATATATTTAAGTGAGTCCCACCCAAACTTAATGCGGTATTTAGGTTGGACTAAAAGGTGCTCAGGGCCGTCAGATGGGGGGGTGCGATGGGTGCGACCGCACCCCCCTTTTTCACCCCCCAAAAAAAATTCGAAAAAAAAAATTTTGAAAAAAAAATTTTTTTGGAAAAATACTCATACACTTTGGCAGTACCCAGAAAGCACCAAATAGCATCTTAAAATTGTAAAATTTTCTAGGGGTATTGGCCACCCCTCACACCCCCCACAAAACAATGGAAAAGTTCTAAATTTATTTTAGTGTTTTGTCTAAGACACTTTTAAAGTGCCCAGATATCATCAAATAGCTCCTTGATATAGTTAGTGTTTCTGGGGGACTAACACTTGCTCCCCCTCTTGCATCTTGCACTTGCATCCCCACCCCACCTCCCCCTCTGGTACCCCCCCCTCAAAAAAAAAATTGGATAAAAATTGTGATTTTCTCAAATTCTTTAATTGAATCATGCACTTTGAAAGTGTCCAGAAAGCACCAAATAGCGTCGTAAAATTGCAAAATTTTCCAGGGGGAGTGGGCCACCCCTCACACCCCAAACAAAACAATGGAAAAGTTCTGAATTTGTTTTATGTATTGTCTCAAACAATTTTAAATTGCCCAGACATTATCAAATGGCTCCTTGATACAGTTAGTGTTTCTGGGGGACTAACACTTGCTCCGCCTCTTGCATCTTGCACTTGCATCCCCACCCCACCTCCCCCTCTGGTACCCCCCCCCTCAAAAAAAAAATTGGATAAAAATTGTGATTTTCTCAAATTCTTTAATTGAATCATGCACTTTGAAAGTGTCCAGAAAGCACCAAATAGCGTCGTAAAATTGCAAAATTTTCCAGGGGGAGTGGGCCACCCCTCACACCCCAAACAAAACAATGGAAAAGTTCTGAATTTGTTTTATGTATTGTCTCAGACACTTTTAAATTGCCAAGACATCATCAAATAGCTCCTTGATATAGTGAATGATTCTGGGAGACTAACACTTACTCGCCCTCTAGCATCCCCACTCCACCTCCCCCTCTGGCAGCCCCCCCCAAAAAAAAAATTGAAAAAGATAAGATAAGATAAAAAAATTGTGATTGTTTTTCAATGTTTTTATAAACTAATACACTTTAAATGTGCCCAGAAGCACCAAATATCATCTTTAAATTGTAAATTTTCTAGGAGAGTTAGCCACCCCTCACATCCCCCACAAAACAAAAGAAAATATTCTGAATTTCATGTATTGTCTCAGACATCATCAAATAGTACCTTGATATGGTCAATGTTTCTGGGGGACAGCCCCTTGCTCCCCCTCTGGCACCCCACCCCACTTCACCCTCTCATCCTCTTTGACACCCCCAAAAAAATTTGAAAAAAAATTCACATCAATCTTATTGACTCATACACTTTGAAAGTGCTTAGAAAGCACCAAATAGCATCTCAAAACTGAAAAATTTTCTACGGGGAGTGGACCACTCCTCACACCCCCCCACAAAACAATTGGAACATTTGGAAGTTGCATTTGTTAATTCCAAACCAATATAGGGAGTAACCGACCCCCCCCCCCTCTGACTTACGCGATTTGATTTTTTATATTTTATATTCTCTTTAGTAAAAACCGCACCCCCCTTGGAGAAAAGTGTCTTACGGGCCTGGTGTTTAGATCTTGTGTCATGGCCATGTTGGGAAATTTTAAAATAGTCTTTAAAAATGTATATAGGAAAGCCAGATGGTATGTTTAAGCATCTATACAAATGTAGCAACATTTAAATGATAAATATCAAAAATTGTCAAAATGTTTTCTCTTTTGAATAAAGGGGCAGTGTGCTCTCTAAAATGTGAATTTGTAATTAATCTAATACATTTCTTTTGAATAAGATGTATTGGTGTAAGTATGTTCTTTTTTACATGACCCCAAATAATATTGCAATAGTTAATTTGAGAAAGGATTAATGAATGATATACTTTAAGCTTAGAGTCATGATCAAAGATGTCTCTTACTTTATAGAGAATGCCTGTTATTCTTGATATCTTATTAGTAATATGCTGAATATGCTTTTCCAATTTAACTTTTCGTCAATAAATACTCCAAGAAAATTAACACTACTTTCTCTTTTTATTGGCACATTGTCAATATGTATATTTATGTCATGGATAAAATTTCTACCAGGAGTAAAAATTATGAAATTAGTTTTATCTAAGTTAAGAGATAGTTTGTTAGCTTTAAACCATTGATTAATTGTTTGCAGTTCTTTGTTTAATAGTAAATAGTACATTGTAATACTGCATGTTCGCCAAATTAAGCAGCCGCCAAATGTCCAGAATAGCAAATACGCCAAAATAAGTAGCGCCAAATGAAGTAGAAGTACAGTATTAAAAACCCATCTATTTAAAAGATTACATGTATATTATCAAAAATAGTAACATTCCAAGTGCATTCAAAAGGATGTCTAGCTGATTTGTATTTTGAACTATAATATGTAAATTAAAAGTATTGCTGAATAAAAAAATATCTCTATATTTTTAGAATGAGTGATGAAAATATTAAAAAGCTAAAGGTCCTACAAAATGAATATGGTAACAAATGGACCATGATTGGTGAGAAATTGGACCATAGTGGATGGGCTTGTGTTAGTTCTTATCGTTCACATTGTTCAAAAAAGAGTAAGTAAAATGTTATTTAAAGGGTTTTAAATACATGTAGCTGTTATGTATTCTCCCTGACATTAAATTATTTGTAGCTCTTAATGATATTCAACTTACACAATCAATAGACTTGGAAATAAACTTTAATATAAGTAATAAATGTTGTGAGTGATAAACCTTGTGAATAGTAAACCTTGTGAATAATAAACCTTGTGCGTGATAAACCTTGTGCGTGATGAACCTTGTGAGTAATAAACCTTGTGCGTGATAAACCTTGTGAATAATAAACCTTGTGATTGATAAACCTTGTGAATGATAAACCTTATGCGTGATAAACCAGTGAGTAATAAACCTTGTGAGTGATAAACCTTGTGAGTGATAAACCTTGTGAATAATAAACCTTGTGAGTGATAAACCTTGTGAATAATAAACCTTGTGTGTGATAAACCTTGTGAGTAATAAACCTTGTGAGTGATAAACCTTGTCAGTAATAAACCTTGTGAGTGATAAACCTTGTGAGTGATAAACTTTGTGAATAATAAACCTTGTGATTGATAAACCTTGTGAATGATAAACCTTATGCATGATAAACCAGTGAGTAATAAACCTTGTGAGTGATAAACCTTGTGAGTGATAAACCTTGTGAGTAATAAACCTTGTGAGTGATAAACCTTGTGAGTGATAAACCTTGTGAGTAATAAACCTTGTGAGTGATAAACTTTGCGAATAATAAACCTTTTGAGTGATAAACCTTGTGAATAATAAACCTTGTGAGTGATAAACCTTGTGAATAATAAACCTTGTGAGTAATAAACCTTGTGAGTGATAAACCTTGTGAATAATAAACCTTGTGAGTGATAAACCTTGTGAGTGATAAACCTTGTTAGTAATAAACCTTGTGAATAATAAACCTTGTGAGTGATAAACCTTGTGAATAATAAACCTTGTGAGTGATAAACCTTGCTAATTTGTAAATGTATGTTACAGACCAAGGAATTTGGAGTAAAGAAGAGGAAATTCAGTTGGTCCAGGCCATCAAAGATGAACTTGAGACTGAAGATATAGAAGATCTGTTCTATGGCTTGCCATGGGAGAGGATAGCAGCTAGGCATCCTACTAGGTATGCCAAACAATGTGCAAATAAATGGTATGATAACAATAGTAATTAAAGATAGTTAGATTGTGCTTAATATGATTAGATAATGTATATAAATTGTAATTTATGAAATTAGAAGTGATGTGATAATTATCAAAATAATATGATTAAAGGATCAGTCAGGAAATGGATATCGAGAAAATAACAAGATTATTAATGTCTAAAAACATCTCAATCTATCAAGATTATCACATACATATATGTATACATGTAAATGTATTACTAAACTAACTTATTACTCTTCTGAGAATCCAAAAACATTAATTTTTTCACATTCAATGAAGAATATTGTGCCCAAGGACAATGTATATCAATATGCTTGAATTGAATGATGTATACAAAAAGGTTGTGACACATCCTCCAAAATACATTTTCTTGGAATAGACATTGAATGGTATTTCTTGATGACTGGATTTGTATTTATCTGATTAATCAAGGGATTATAGTCACTCAAAGTTGCTGACTGTTAACACCTCAAATTGCATTGTCGAAGCTGAGCACAACTTTACAGTTACAATTTTACAACCTCTTTATATGATCTAGATGATAAACATTTACAATTGGAGCAATGTTTCATGGCTTTACGTCCCTGTCCTCCATAACTGCAGTATAAACTTTTCACTGTCCATTCACTATCCTGGTAATTTAACTTCTTTTGACGTAATCAATGGTCAACTACAACCTTACAAGAAACATTGTAGCAATTTAGGAAGAGTTCATTTTTGATATTCTAAGGGTGATCAGCATTTTACATAAGCTTTAAAATGATATATGGGGATGTATGATAACTTTCAAAAAGTTATGGTGAGAACAGACTTATTTGACACCCTGTATGTATACACAATAGGAATTTTGAAGTCATAACATATGCCTAGCAAACACATAGCAACGGTTCCTAGTCAACTCGGTCCCTAGCTAGTCAACTTGTACCGATGTATATTTTTTTCGATATGTTGAGCGTTAAAGTGGAAATTAATATACAGGGTGGTCCAAAAAAAAGTGAACCCCTGCAACAGGCTACATTTTTCTTAATACATGCATGAATTGGCTCATATTATCACATGTTGTAGAGAAAGGTCTAAAATTTTGGTTGATGCCATAATTTATTCTCAGTCTTAAATTTTGAAGAAATTACAAGCGTTTTACAAACATGCCTGGAAATTAGACATTGTACAAAATTTTACAAATGTGATTCACGGAAATTGTTGAAACACATCGGATTATCTTAAACAGCTTTCAGTTAGAGATACAAGTTTAAAACCCTACCATATGACAAAAGGGACACTATTCAAGCAGAAAACACATTTCACACTTTCATTGATCATTTTGAAGCATTTTTAACTGTTCAACAGTTCAGGGGTATGTTACCTACACCAACAGTTAGAGGGGGGCCTCTTATGGAAGGAAGTTGCCCCCTGTGACCAGGAATCTGATAACCCCTTCATCAAATATCTTTAAAAAATCAAAAGAAAATCCAATATTCAATGTTTTGAGCCATATATCATTAGAATTGGTCCATGATTTATGAAGATATTGACAATTCAAGATCATATAGGGGTATGCTCATGATTTCACTGGAAAATGTTTTCGTCTGGGGAAGCTTAGCACATCTCTTGGATCACAATAACTTTGCAACTAACAAATGTAGGATGCTAGTTATAAGCCATAATGTGCAGGATTTAAAATTGAACAAAGTCAGAAAATTTTAGTTCTTTAAGACTGCAGCTTAAAAAATTCTCAGGGGAAAGGTGTTTAAGGGTTGAAGAATCGCGGATATTGAAAATCACAATTTATCCATTTTCAGTAATGTTTGGTTAGGGCTTATAATTTCTGCAAATTTCAAGACTAAGAAAAATGTATGGTACCAACATAAATTTTAGACCTTCCTCTACAACATGTGAAAATAAAAAAGAATTCCTGCAAGTAATAAGGGAAATATGGCCAGTTGCAGGGGTTCACTTTTTTTTGGACCACCCTGTATAAAAGCAAAAGTGATCATATATAATTCCAAGAGCCAATCATAAATCATACATTCTAAATGTGAAATCAAATAGGATTAAATATGCCTAAAACGTAGTCACCAATAGTATTTTACATGAAACTTTTAAAATATGCCCAAAATCTATTACAAACAATAAATGTTATTTTCAAGCTGTATCTTAAAACAAAAATGTACTGATATGTTTCTTCATACTGCATATTGGAATTAATGTAATACCTCTATATTTTGTTAACTTCAACACCCTGATTAAATGCTTATCAAATAGAATAGAAATCATAGTAAGCATTAGAGGATCATTTAGAAGCATTTAAAATCAAATCCACAGCAAAATCTGAATAATTGATTTGATCAATCATGTGTACGATATGTGCTTAATTATGGTATGTATACTTGCGTGGATTGTTAAATTGCAAAATAGGTAGGGTAAAGAATATGTCAAAGTCGTGTGATCTCGTTCCAGAAGCAATGTTTTGTCACGTGTATCTCCCAGAATACCTTTAAAGGCCCCATGTAAAGTTTAAACCACTTTGGCTTATATTGTAGTCTTACCCAATGTTATCAAAGTGTGATATGTGAAACTTTTTTTTTAAATTTCAAAATGTGGTTTTTGATAGACTTTTTGTTCCAAAATTTGTGAATTTATTTAAAACCAACTTTTAGAGGTCACTCATATCTTCTAATTAGCCACAATTCATACCAATGCATAGCATTCATCCTCCCATGTTTTTTGCCGTAAAAATTAAGAAAATCGGTTCATAAATAAACGAGAAATGAACTTATCAGTGCATGAAAATGGTTCTGAGAAAAATGCATTTCAAAATTTTAGTTCTCCTAGAAACCAATGGTACAATGATATCTAAAACATAATTTATTCTTACTTTTAATCTGGTTAGACAATCAACATTGGTTTTTTATGAAAGTCTAACATATTTAGAAAAGATTGACATCGAAAAAAAAATTTCAATTTTTTTCAAAAAGTTTTTGGTACCTTAGTGACATCACTAATGTTTCAAAATATTTTTGATATGCTAAAACATTGAAGTGGCCCATTAAATATGGCATTTTATTATTGAAATAGTGTGTCCTTTGTTCAATCTTTGCATTGGTGTTAAAAAGATAATCTTTTTTGAAATGCATTAAGAAATATTTGATGATCAAGAAATTTCAACTTTTTTTGAAAAATGGCGGGAAATTTGAATATTTGAGAAACGAAATGCTCACAACTTTTTCATCAAAATTTTTTTTTTGTTCAAAAATCTCTAAAATTACTTTTGAAGTCCTGACAAATAGTAAATGAATGATAAAAAAATATTTTCAAACTTTAGACGGGGACTTTAACTAGGGTCTGAGTTAACTAGGTCCAAGTTGACCAGATAACCTAGCAACAGAAAAACATTCACAAAAATGATGTATTTTTGTCAGTATAATGCCATTCTCTCACAAGGCATAGCTAGGGGGACCCATGACGTTAAAATGTTAACCTATCAACCACTTAGCAAAGTTAGGTTATGGACTAAAATGGTCAGTTTTGGCCAATACTATGTCAATTACAGGTCTTAGGTAGTTTCACTTGATGTCATTTTGACTTAATTTCATATTTTGTTCCCTGTAGTTCACAATTTCTTTGGTAAAGAGTAGTGTATATGCATAATGACACATAGACATACTGATGTTTACTGGTTCGGCAGACAGTTTCAAATAATTAGGCACCAAGTAACTGGCCACCAGCCAATCAGATACCTTAATCTTCTTTTCCTGGATGAATAAGGTTTCATCAATAATGGGTGTCTGAACTTGGGTGTGAGAAACTGATCATGTGAATCAGAGTAATACAAAATCTTGAAGGGTGAGTCCTCCTGAGGTCTGCGCCATCATGCATAGTTTGCTGTCCACTCTTTTGCCTTCTAAATCCCATAGAACTTGTGGTAGGCCATCTTTCATTTCGCCGTAGGCGATGACCACTTTGAGGGAAAATTTCTCCCAGGCGTTACTAATTTCTTAAGAGTGATTATAAGTTTGTATAATCTGATATTGTTGATCGATGTACTGGACCACACCAAAGAGCAGAGGCTCAGATTACTCCTGTTTCGAAGTGACTTCAAAAGCAGAGGTTACTTCTAGAGTCTCGACTCTTCCGAGAGACGAGTTTGCTCATAGATATGAAGCTCTCTTTTGAGCAGAGGTAGATTAGGGATCACTCTGGTAGCGAGACAACTCCCGGAGCAGAAGATACTCCAAAAGCCTGAACCCAGTCCATGAGCAGAAACGTGATTTCCCAAAGGGACGAGACGACTCCTTGAACAGAGATGTGCTGATTCCCAAAGATACACAATCATAGTGACATTAAATCATATATGGACATTTGAGTTTTCTGTATTATCTATGTTGGAATAGATTAAAAAATGTGTATGCAATTGTTTTATGTGAGCCATCTTTAACTGCGGTACCACCAAACAAGGTCAGCACTCATAGAAAGACCTCTAAGATTTATTATTGATCGCCTTTGATCTTTTCTTTAATGACCATACAGGATACTCGGGAGAGGCCAAAGTGAGACATTGGTGGCAGTGATAGGTTCTGTTGCCCAAAGAGGATGATTGAGGTGTCAAGGAAGTTTGAGACTGAGTGAGAAATCTTGGATGAAGAGGATTCCAGAAGAAATGGTGGAATTGTGAAATTGGTCCCTAGTTGAGATCGGAACAGCTTGAAACCCCTCCAAATGATAGGTGTCAAGAAGAGGAGTCTTGTCTGGAGAGAAAAGTGACTCAGAGGGTAGAAAAGAGAGGAGATGCTCCTGGTGGTGTTAAAGTGGATGACACACTACCAGTGGGCAAAAATGAGAGAGCCAAGACGACTCCTAGTGGAAAGACCAAAGTATTTCCAAAAGAGATGAATCGAGATTGAATGAATCCAGACTTCGACCAGATTT